TGCCATTACCCACCATCCTTTTTTTTTTTTACACCCCTGCGTACTAGGCAAACTATACTGTCTGTCACACATATACTGTACATATTATGAAAGCACTTTCCTTGAGAATTCTTATTCCTACCATCTATTTAAAAGTTCTTAGACAGGAATTGGGGCATGTGAGAGTAGAAAAATGAGTAGCGGGGGGGGGGGGGGGGAATGTGTGGTGATTGCATGATGATTAAAAATGTAAAAGAAAGTTCTGTTTCTCAAAGATTTGCAGAAAAGGATTTCATAGAATCAGGAAGTAGGAAGGGGCTATTTAATCTTCTAAATTCAACCCACTGCTCAGTTGCAAAAATCCAAATTACAGTAAAGTCTGAACAGATGAAAACATGCAGTAAATGGGAATTCATGTATTCTCTGAGTAACTGGCTTTTGTTTTGTTTTGTTAGGAAGGTTTTTCCAACATTCAGTTTGAATCTACACTCCTGTCAATTTTACTTTGTGTCCTGATTTCTGGAATAAGAAAAAAGTCCTAATCTCTTAAATTATATTCTTTCACATATTTAAAGAATGCCTTCATATGTTCTTCCATTGTCTTTTCTCACAGTTAAACAGTTCAGTCTCTTCAATTTCCCTTCAAGGGCCTTAGCTTCTAGTCCTTTGATCATGTACATTGATCCTTTGTGAATCTTTTCCAATTTCTCTATATATAATTTTAAAAGTGTAGTTCCAAGAACCAGAAAAGATAGAATCTGATCAGTGCAGAATAAAACAGAACAAATACTCCTCATTTGGAAATTATACTTCTATTGATATAAGCTGAAATTGCCTTTGTTTGTTTTACAGTCATTTCACACTGTTGGATTGTTACTCAGTTTGCAAGCTACTCTTCTAAAATATTTTTAAAGTACCTAGACGGGTATCCCTATATCTATATAGTAATTGCTTTGAGTTTTATCTTCTGGAATAAAAATTATCCAATCCAGTTTTGAATACTATGCAAATTTGATAAGCATTCTATCCACTTCTTATCCAAATTATTTATGCTGCTCTGTGATCATAATAAAGATCTGACTGATCGATTGACTGAATTCCAAATCATTAAATAAAAATGTGAAATGTAGAGAGAGAGCATCATACAAGAGAAGGTCCCATATAAGAAATAGGCGAGCACCTAGAGGCATGGTCAGGTAAGGCTGATACCTTAGTTAGGCTTTAAGTTGTGAGCAGCAACACCTTAAATTGTGCCTAGTAGATAAAAGGCAACCAGAAAAGACCTTTTTGTACAAATATTGTATGATCCTTGTATTTTCTGCTGTCATGTTTTGCACCAATTGCAATTTTTGGACACTTTTTAGGGCAGTCCCAGATAAAGTAAAATGCAATAGTCAAGCCTCGATATAAGCAAAGCATGGAGAAAGCCTAAGTCTTATTTAAAAGCATTGAAACATGATATGTATGAGATATCCAAGCTATGTTAAATTGTGCAGAACTGAATGTAGTAGTAATACAGAAGCATCAATTTTCAAGCAAATAGGCATGCATTGAATTCATTTTCAGGAATAGCCGAGAAAGCATTTATGTAGAAAAACAAATGAGAATTGCATGTTGCATGAAACTGAAATGTCAAAAAAGACTGGAGCTGGCAGCATATAAAATATAAATATATGACAGCAAAGGTACCACTTATTATTTCAAATTACAAACAATATTAAAAGTGAAAAGTACCAACAACATGATTCATCCTGACCTTCCAAGGCATAGTTATTTAGAATTATAGCCCATTGTGAATAGGTTTTACTTATTAATGGGCATGTAGAAGGTTGGCTTTATTAAATTGAGAAGCGGTGTAAGATATTCTAAACATTTTTAAGAATAGGTTTGATGAATAGGTCTCATATGAAAAAGACTCAGAATAATTTGTGCTCCTTTTGAATAACCACCTCTCACAAAAGAAGTGAAGTTGCAAGCCCAAATGGAAAGTTATAGGTAGTCCTCAACTTACGACAACAATTGGAACCAGAATTCTGTTGCTAAGCAAGGCGGTTGTTAAGCATGCTCAATTTTATGACTGTTTTTGCCACAATTGTCAGTAGCGGGATTCAAATTTTTTTACTACTGGTTCTGTGGGCGTGGCTTAGTGGGTGTGGCAGGGAAAGGATACTGTAAAATCTCCAATCAGAGGTGGTATTTGCTGGTTCTCTGAACTATTCAACATTTCCACTACCAGTTCTCCAGAATTGGTCAGAACCTGCTGAATACCACCTCTGACAGTTGTTAAGTCAATCATTGAATCGGTTAAGTGAATATCATTATTAGGTGGCAGGCATGAAAGACCAGGACACATGAAGTTCCAATTAAACTGATGTATGTACTCAACTAATGGTTAGCACTATTTTGGTGTCAGATAAGGGTTAATAGAGTTCAAGAGGAAGTCCTCCAGCTGTTTTTGCTTGCAATTGTACCTCAAATGTAAAGAAAAAAAACCTCAGCTTTATTCTTTTCTGAGATCAATTCTGTTATAAACCTGGTGAGAAATTTGATGGTTTAGCACCATTTCTGGGTGGGGAAGGATTCATAATGAGTAAAGTGCTAGAAATAAAAAGAATTCAAGGCACAGTTGGTGGTTTCAAAAATTAAATAATACACTGGTCAAGGAGAATAGCAGCTTTCATTGTCTGGTGCTCAAGAGGCATTTGGGGCCTGAGATGCCAGCACATCACATGATACTTAAGAGAGTTTAATAGACCACTGAAAATGGGTATCATGCTGCAAGACATCACATGGCAGTCAAGAGATCTATTGTGTAAGCTATCTGCTCAATTTACTTTGCAACATTGGGAATAAGGGAGATGAGGGTAGTCTTTGATTACTGACTGACTTGATGGAGAAAATATCCAGTGAAAATAACAAGAAAAGGTTCAAAATCAGAGGAGTTCTGAGAAAATATTTTTAGTGTTTAATCTAGTGTCTATCAGGTCCCTGTGCCTTGCCTTCTCTCTCTCTTTCTTTCTTTTCTTGGAAATGCTTTGCCTACAGCCATATGTTTGTCTGTCCGTCCTCTGTATCTATAAATAGAAGTGACTTGAAACATTATAAAACAGTTGTTAATTCTGATTTTTCTGTTATCAACCTTTATCTACATGCTATACAATTTATTTCAGTTGAAAATATAATCATGTCCTGGATTTAAAGAAATGATTCTAAATAGTGGCATACGCTGATAAATACATGAAATTTTTCAGAAGCATCTAATCACACCTTAACTGGGATTGTTTTTTTCCACAGCTAATAAGACTCTTTATTGTCCCTAAACTATAACATGAGTTAGACTTCTTTTAGTTTTATTAGTAAGATTTTAGTATGGAAGTGATTCAAAAGAAAAAGTATACGGATGTTTTTAATGATTGCTCCATGATTAGAGATTGTCTAATGCAGTATTTCTCAACCTTGGCCTGTTTAAGATGTGTAACTTCCAGCATGTTTTAAAATCTTTTAAAAGTACTGCTATCACTTTAAAAATGTGCATCATCATTACCATAACAGTTTATTGTAAAATATTTTAAATAAAAATAATAAAGGAATTGTAAATACTGTTGGTTATGGTAAACCGTTCTATAAACTGCCACACACCATTTCTGAGGCGACCCTTATTCAAGGTAGTCATTATTGAGCATAAACATTACGTGGGATAGGCCAAATTGTCTGCAGACCACCTATTTTTGTTCATTTTGCCTTCCAGTCTTAGGTCCTTAATAGGTCAAATATCAGCACAAATATGTTTAATATCTATAGCAGGGGTGTCAAACTGGTTGCCCATGGGCGGGATGTGCCACACACAGGCCACGTCCATCTCAGCTCCGGGAAAGGGAAAAACGTCGCAAAATGTCGCTTGATGGCAACATGACGCGGCGAGTTTGACACCTTTGATCTAAAGGAATTTCTGTGTTTTTTTTCCCTGTGGGATGTTACACTCTGTGAAATTAATTGTCATAGGAACTAAAGCTCCTAGATACAATTTAGGAGAAGGTTTAAAATATGCTTGTTACAGTTTTAGTACTTTCCATTTTGATTTTAAAGCTGTTTTACATTTTAAAATGTAAAATATTTTAAATGTACAGCTATTAGAATGTATTATTTAGAAAAATTATGTGACTACTCATCTTGAATGCACAACTCTGGGTGGTTCACAACAACCACAAAAATAGATTTGAAAAAGCTCATAAAGTGTAAGCATAATATACTGCCAACACAACTATGCGTAAGTTGTATGTTATTGATATATTCCTTGACCTATCAGAATGGACAGTATATAATTTTTTAAATAAAAAAGTAAAATGAATTTGCACATAAATAAACGTCTGATTAAAGTAGAGGTAGGTGATTGAGGATGATTATTACTTTTGAACACATTAGATTCCACTGGGGGGGGGGGGGGAGTAAGGAAACCATCATGCAGATTTAACCAAGGTATGATATGTTAGTTTTCAAATAGGAAATATTTGCAGTTTTTGATTAATATATTTCTAGCCCACATGAACAGGATATTTATAAAATGAGCAGGCTTTCAAAACTTGTTGTCCTTCAGATGTGCTGCATGGTAGGTCTGTCTGCAAGATTAAATTCTGCAATTGAATGCAGAGGTCTGAATGGAATTATTTTACAGTGTGTCTGTGGTGATTCTCAGTCATCCAGGTCATGGTTCTTGAAAAGGCACCGTTGGAATATCTTACAGTGTATTTTGGAAATATGTTTTTCCCTTCCTAATGATATCTGGTTTTCTTTTGCTATATCAGTATATTTACCAAAAGATTTATACAAACTTGTGTTTAGAGCATGAAAAACTATTGTGATAGAGTAGAGGATGAGGGAGTGGTAGGGAATGAAATTCCCTAAACCATTCTGAAGAATAAATTTGAAGATTTCTACTTATAGCTGGTTCTTATTTTATGACTATCTCGATGTTATATAAATACTATGTAGCTGTAATAAATGCGTTAGGAAAAACAGGGAAAATATAAAGAAGTCTGAGCAAATGAATTAATGAATGGACAATGAAACAAAGGTATAATTGAACAAGTAAATGAAAAATTGAGAATGCTAATGATTGAATATTATTTCAGAATGTTATTGATGTATTTTTCTTGATTTGAAAAAGGAATTAAAATGATATACATATGCAGTATTCTAAGTGTAGTCTTTATAAAGTTTTAGTAAGACTGTACTTAGAACACTGCATCCAGTTTTGGTCACCAACTTGTAAAAAAGATGTTGAGACTTTGGAAAGAGCAACAAAAATGATTGGAGGCTGGATGATTTGTCTACTCCAGTGAAAAGAAGGACTAGGGGTGACATGATAGCATTGTTCTAATATTTGAGGGGCTACTACAAAGAAGAAGGGATGAACCTATCTTCCAAAGAAACAGAAAGCAAGACAAGAAGTAATGGATGGGAGATAATACAGGAGATAAGCAATCTAGAATTAAGAAGAAACAATTAAGTAGTGAAAAAACTTGTCTAGAGAAGTTATGGATGCTTCATCACTGGAGGCTTTAAAGAAGAGATTGAACAGCCACTTGTCTGAAATGCCATAGGGTCTCCTGTTTGAACAGAAGATCTCCAAGGTCCTTTCCGACTCTGTTATTCTGTTATATGAAAGCTTAAGTGTATGGATGGGTTGTGATGATATAAATCACTAGATCTGGAGTTCTTATGGCTGCTTCCTGATATATCTTTCAGCCAAATATTTAGCCTGAAATTGAGAAAAAAGAACACAACATGAAGATACTTGAGGAACTAGCCATGTTGAAGACCTACTTAGCTTTTAGCTACATACTGAATTCTCCTTTCACTGATATGAAGGGCTATATTGTCTGAAACAACAATTACAACAAGAACAGGTATACTGTTGGAAGCCACAAAGGGGCCAGGTTGGGGACAGATTATCTTGCAATGATAAAACTCTGTTGATCTGGTTGCGAAGCATCAACACCAACTTGATGATAACCATAACCAGCCTGCCTCATGTGAATTTTGTATTTGTATAATTAATTCTTTAACTCTTTTCTCACTTTTCTGTATCCTAGCTTTTTTCCATTGTTGTGTTTGGCTGTATTGTGAATGAAGGCTTTATCAACCAACCCAACACACCAGAACAGTTCTGCATCTACAATCGCAATCAGAATGCCTGCAACTATGGTATCACCGTGGGAGTCCTTGCATTCCTCACCTGCCTCCTTTACTTAGCCCTAGATGTCTACTTCCCACAGATTAGCAGTGTCAAGGATCGCAAAAAAGCTGTGCTTTCAGACATTGGAGTATCTGGTGAGTTTCTGTTGAATGTATATGGGTTTCTATAGGAACAGTATGTATGGATCCAACTTCACATCTGGACACATGATTTAAATGGCTTTTTATTAATCAGAGTTGTATTGCTTTAGAATCTGCTTTATTAAATAAATTGATCACCGATTCAAATTAAAAGCACTTTTTTGTTCTCTTGCATCATTTTAAGCTTACCCTTTCTCTTGTTTATCTGACTTCTTAATTTCACCAGTTTTACCCTTTTTAGTTTATAAATGAACACATTTTAATTAATTAACTGTGAATAGAATGTGTTGCCTTTGCTGTAATGGAGGATGACTGTCAGGGTGTCCTCTGTCTATGGAGAATCTCTATGCAAATGAGGATTCTGGAAAATGAGGGGCCTCTATTGATGGAGTCACGTGGCTGCTTTTCCTTAACATCATCCAGAAATTCACAAATAAAAGTAACCAAAAGGATTCTTGGCATCACTTTGTAAAACAGAAAAAATATTACAAGAAATACCCCGTTGAAGAGAGAGCTGTTGGATATAATGGGGAAAGGGAACACCCACTTTCAGAAACGTTATGTATAATATTGTGATACCATATGCTAGCTTTACAACTAGTCAGTCTTTCTAATTATTAACTTTCCACCAAATATTAATACTTAAAGCAAGGTAATTCCAAATTAAACTAAAAAGATGCCATTGCCATTTGTTTTGGCTCTAAAAGATACAGTAAGGCTCAAAATCTTCTCTACTTCTTATGAAACTGAAGACCAAATTAAAAGGAATTGGGGCTGGCTTAGGCAGGCTGTAATCGGCTTAGGAGAGTGATCTACCCACACAGAGAATATTCTGCAAGAGCACCAGCCAGAAGCTTTGAACCAGCAAGCATTCATGGGTGGGTAGGTTTAAAAATGGGCAAGATGGTAACTACAGAATCTAAGACCCAACATGGAAATACTGCTGTGCTGAACTATTAGAAATATTTTTTTAAAACCCTCTTGATTTAAGCTTTCCTTTAATTGGTCTCATTGTTCTACTCAGCTATTTCAAGTCTGGTTCCAAAGAAAATTGATATATAAACCTTAAAGCAATCACAACTTATTTAAGTCACATGGATTTCAATTAATTTCTACACTTGAATTACTCATCTTTCTTAAAAACATATTTTTCCTGAGATGCTGATTTGTTCCCATAGTTCTTCCAAGCACCATAATTTGCTAGTAATTGTCTCTGGTATGCTTGGGCATAGTGGGCACACTAGGGGTCTGCTCAATTAAATGTTGTTATTTCACAGGGGTGTGGAGCAACATTCCTCCAGAGACACATAATCCCCAGCGCTTCAAGCCGCATGGAAGCCTGTTAAAACCTGGCCCTTTTCCCAGGCCTGAAGTTAGGATGTTTGTGGAGCCCCAAATGTTTTTTAGGAGTGTTATTTATGTGGTTTTGTCTGGGCAACTTAATGAAACGTTAACTTTCATTCATTTTTAAATTTTAAAGTTACCTAGAATTTTTGGGAGTCAGAGAGCCTAAAATCCAATAAATAAATCTGACAAAGCAACAGTTGTCCAGTGGACAAGGTTATTCAGTGAATTATTTTTCACAATTGTGGCATTTACATGTTATTTTTTTATAGTTGAGAAGTGGTTCCATACTAATTCTCCCTTCAAGGAAGCCTTCTCTGAAAATTTTAGAGCTAATGCAGCCTAACATAATCTTGCATGGCCTTCACCAGCCAAGTCTATTCAGATAATGTGGAGGCTGGTTTGACTGAGAATCTTGGAAACAGGCACCCTTGCACATTTGAAAAAAATGCCCTTGTGCTTTCAGGGAAAATAAAGCATATTGCTGTACAGAGCATTCCCTTCCACTTTGTGCAATTGTTTCTGTTGCTATCCTTAGAGGAAGTCATCCTTTCATCCTTAAGGTGGCTTCTTTTCCTCTCCTTCCACTCAGTCATGGAGATTGCCTGCACAAGTCCCTGCAGTTTTATTGACAAGAGTTTTTCAGAAGCTATTTTTCATTGCCTCCTTCCTAGGACTGAAAAAAGTGACTAGTTCAAGGTCACCAAGGTAGCTTTGTGCCTAAAGCAAGATTAGAACTCACAATCTCCTCCTTTCTAGACTGATGTTTTAGCCATTACACCAAATGGCTCAGTAAGATGGTACGATTTGATTATAAATCCATTAAGGTATAATATTTAGATGCATCTGTTAATGATGTCAGGATAGAAAAGAACAGCCAGGGAGAGATATTTGCTTAATGCCTACTCATTTTTATTTTTTTTCTTTTGCTTTGTTTTGCCTATGTTAGAAAATTCTATAGCAGAGCTAGCTAGCTTACTGGCATGGAAATGCTACATAAATAATGGAAGAAAGGAAATACATTTTGGAGTTATTACTCCAGTTCTCTTTGCCATGATTACTTAAAAGCAAAATGTAGTAATTAAAAAACCCTCTGTGTTTCAAAGCAATCAGAGTGAGTATAATTCTTAGTTCTGCTTTGACTCAGAATGAGGCCAAAATCACATTGTTCTTTCCCACCCTCACCTCCATCTAAAACTGCGGGAATAATAACTCTGCCTGCCACACAGAACCATTTACAGAGATTCCTTTTGATTATTTATACTTTTGAGACCTTCAACAATCCAGCCCTTCCTTCAAGACAGAGCTCTTTCTACTTCTGTCCTCCTTCTCAGCTGAGCCTGTGTTCCATTGTATGGTTTAGTTCTGTAGAACTGCTACAATTCAAGAATAAGTGAGCCAGTGACTCCACTGTGGTGAGGTCAGGAGATCCCATGTGTACAGTGGAAATGAACTTACTCTTGATGACTAAGCCTTGCCATTCCACAACATGTTCTTATTTTTAGGGCAGAACTGAGTGTTAACCCAACAAACTTATATATCCTCTCCTTTCTTCCTCCTTTTCCTAAAAGTCCTCTGCGATACAGCTACGTTCCTTACTAGTTGAAAAGAAAAGGATGCTATGGCTGCTGCCTTGCAAAGCATGAAAGAGGAGAAAGAGTACCAGGATAGGAAATTGGTGTGTGTTTGTGTGTGTAGAACTCGACAATTGTAACCACCATTTTCTTTGCTAACCAACATGGTTGTTAAGCGAGCCACACCCAATGTTACAATCTTTTTTGCCATGTTTGTTAAGCGACTCACATGATCGATCCAACTTCCCTGTTGACTTTGCTTGTTGGAAGCCAGCCAGGAAGGATGCAAATGGCAACCACATGACCCCTGGGATGCTGCAACACTCCTAAATACATGCTAATTGCCAAGCAGCCAAATTTTGATCCTGTGATTATAGGAATTCTGCAATGCTTGTAACGGCAAAGATTGGTCACAAGTCACTTTTTACACTGCCATTGCAACTTCATATGGTTGCTACATGAATGGTTGTAAATCAAGAACTACCTCTATGGAGAGCAACAAGAGGACTTACAATAATATTTTCACAGCTAGAATTGCATCCGAGTGCTGATTCTGACCAAATGAAATATGCTACAATGACAGATCCCACATTTGTCAGGGATAGATAGCAGAGAAAAGAGTCTTTAAACCACTAATTCTCTCCTTTAAATTCTTCCAGTCCCTCAAATTTGGGAAATGTAAGGCTTGGGAATAATATGTTTGGATTTAACTTGCAATTCCATGCAGGGGTCTCCAACTTTGGCCACTTTAAGACTTGTGGACTTCAACTCCCAGCAAAGCTGGCTGAGGAATTCTAGGAGTTGAAGTCCACAAGTGGCCAAGGTTGGAGACCCCTGCTATAAAGAACTGGAATTTATTTATCCCAATCTGCAAATCACTTTGAGATGTTATAGGGAAAAATTTCTGAACATGTGAGAATTAAAATTCATGGGTGTGTATTCTTTCATCTTTCCCTCTTGTTTTGATGGTGATCTCTTACAGGCTTTTGGGCATTTCTCTGGTTTGTTGGTTTTTGTTTCTTGGCTGACCAATGGCGTGTTTCAAAGGAAGAGGATAGTCCACTGAATGAAGGATCAGATGCAGCCCGAGCAGCCATTGCCTTCTCTTTTTTCTCCATCTTCACCTGGGTAAGTTATGCAGGCTTGGACCTTGTCTAGTAATGAGGAATGTCATTTATAAGCATCTTAGGGCCCCAGTTGCCATTTGTATAAGGGAGAGCTCCTCTGTGGCAGTTTTTAGCCTTAGAAAAACTTAATCTGACTTTTACAGCTTTGTACCTCAATGAATCTGAGGAAGCCTTTGAGGCATCTAATCCAACTTGTTTTTCAAATTAAGCTTTGTAATGCAAAATGGTTCCACGACAGTTTTCTCCAATCTGATGCTCTCCACATAAGCTGGACTTCCTTTCATGGCTTTAATTGTCATTTTCAAAACATTTTAAAGGTTCTCATTGGTGACTTAAGAAAGGAATGCTTTACTTCATTTGACACTGGCATCTTGTTAAAAAGAAAGTCACCAAATTTGATGATACAGTACCTAATTTGTTGACTTAGCACTACATTTTTTTCCTCTATAAATATGAGAAGCAATGCAGAAATTTTTAGATAAGTAAAATCATTGCTGGAATAGTTTGATATAATAACTAAAGCAAACTAGACTTGCCATTTCTACAGTGTGAATGAGAATACATCATATTTTGTCCATCTGTAAATATTCATTTAATGTATTTAAATTTAAAATTACCCACAGTTTGATTGGTGGATTACAAAAAAGAATATTCTGCCTGTGATAATGGAAGGAACAAAAATTGCAGAGTGGATTACAATTGACACTGATTACTGGCCTGATACATACTTATATAAGGAGCCTCTGTAGCGCAGTGGTTAGGGTGCAGTACTGCAAGCTACTTCTGCTGCAGCCAGCTGCCTGCAATTTGGTACTTCAAATCCCACCAGCCTCAAGGTTGACTCAGCCTTCCATCCTTCTGAGGTGTAGTTAAAATGAAGACCCAGATTGTTCGGGGGCAATATAATGTAAACCGCTAAGAGAGGGCTGTAAAGCACTATAAAGTGGTATATAAGTCTAAGTACTATTGCTATGTTACATTTTAGAGAAATATTATCATACACCCTATTTGCTTTATATATTGTCACATGGTGAGAATTTGGGAGAGCTGCAAGAGAGCTATTACCATACAAGATTATTGCTTTTCATTGAGAAAAAGAGAATTCTGTACTGCTTATTTTTATTTAATTTAAATATAACCCAATTTTAAGTGTTCCTTTGGAAGAGAACCTCAAAAGAAAAACAAGAATTGAAAGGCTGAGAGACAAACCAGAATAGTACAGAATATGATTTTATCTAAAAGAAATCCCTATATTTGTTGATGTAGTCAATTTATATTTTAGTTAGAAACAAAACCTCAGGAGTCATTTGGCATTTTAAGAAACTCTTTCCCTTTCCCCCTGGGTTTTGGTATTTGTTTTCTTCCAGATGCTATTTAAATACTAGAATGCCGCTCCTAAATGAGGGGCCATAGCTTTTCTTCCTAGACTTTTGGAGGGATGTTGGAGGTTGCCCAGTGATTCTGTTGTATAATTTCCATCAAAACGTTTTTGTGGAGATTAGGGTGGGAATGGAAAGACTGAAGCAAACTGCTCCCTTCCCCCTCACTAATCTTCCCAGGCATTCTGAAATTCTGCCATTTAAATCTGACAACATTGTTGGCAAATCTCAATGGTTTTATCTGGGGATGCTGTCCTGGAGGGCTGAGGTTACCCTACCCAGTGCTGCTTATTGCTTTTATCATTGGCAGCACTGATAGAAGAAGAGAATATTTGTAGCTCAGGGGTTGAACTGTGCGGTCCTTGATGCTCTCTGAGCTTGGTGGCTCAGAGTGGTACCAAGCACAAAGAGCACCCTAATTGACAGCTTTTAATCTTGGGATGGTTTGAGTCCTTTTCTGGTCCAAGCAGAAAAAAAAAATCTGCTATCTGCAGGAAAAAATTGCTGTCACATGAAGTCCTCCATTATAAACACCACCACTTTAGATTTCTCATCTGCTAAATGGAAGTTAATCATCCAGCTATTTTTCCCATGTTATCTTTAATTTCAATAAGGCCTTGGATTCTAATGCCCTTTGTCCAACCTATTCTTTTCCTACAGAGCTTCCTGACTTTTCTGGCCTTTCGCAGACTTGGAGAAATTACTTTTCAGGAAGAATACAACACACTGTTTCCTAATTCTCCACCTGTTCTCCCCTAAACTTGGGTGCATAAAACTGACATATCAGAGAGAAAATGTTTAGAGCAAATATTTCTGATGCTTAAAGTGCAAGGAAGGAAGAAAACAGGATAAAATAGGGCAGGTCCAGCAAATAAAACAACATGTTTTGGGGAAGAAGGAAAATTCTAGAAACATTGAGATACTTAAGGAAATATTTGAGGTTGCCTTTTTTGAAGCCTCAAATAGTTGGAAGTAGAATACGTCCTATTCAATTTCTTTTCTTTTGCTTATTTTTCTACCCTCAGTTCTAGATAACACCATTGTGCCTTTTTGGTTGACTTGGTTAACAATTTTAACACTAATGACAAAATGTATTTTCTATTCCTGCTCACCCTCATATTGCTACAACTTGCTCTTCTGTTGCATAACCTACATGTTGATGGTATCAGAAGGCAGTTTAGAAACTGAGACAGCTTCCCCCACTCTTTCTTCAGCATTGTTACTAAAGACTATTTCACAAAGAAATTTATGATGGGGCTGGACCTCTTATAAACACTACTTTGATTAATCTTGAAAATATGGTTCGCCTTTATTCCTATCTGTCAGCTTCCATAGTTCCAGAACTAATAGAGGTGGAGTTGCATGGGTATGAGATGTCCCAGGAAAGCTGGTATTGTTTCAGACTCTACCTCCCCAGCTCAGACAGCATTGAAAAGCTTGACTGCACAGCCTTGTGTGATCCTTCTCTAATCTGTTTCTGGTATATGAATATGCAATATTGAATATGAAAGTGGTCGGACTAATGCCTTCCACATACTTGGCCTGGACTTGTTGGGTTTGGATATGCTAAAAAAAAAATAAGCACTTCAGAACCATATCTTCTACTGTAGCTTTATTTTCACCAGTCTTTTATCCAAGTAAAGAAGCCATAGGATCTCTCCTAAAAGAGAGCTCTCCTGCTTACTCTGCAGTTTCTTTCTTGAACTCACTTGTCTTGGTGAGCTGTACCAGATCATCTGGTCTTTAGAATGTATTTGCATTTAATTAAGTAATTGCAACATGTCTCTTTCCCTAATTAATGTCTTGTGCACTAACCATTATTAACACAGCTTCTATTTGTTTCTTCCTGGTATGTTTCTCTCTCTCTCTCTCTCTCTCTCTTTTTCCATCCCATTTTCCAAAATCTTCCCCATGCTGCCATATCCTCCCTTAAAGGTGGGTCAGTCTTTTCTGGCATTCCAGCGATACCAACTTGGAGCGGATTCAGCACTCTTCTCCCAGGACTACACAGATCCAAGCCAGGAAGCCAGCATGCCTTATGCACCCTACACAAATGAGGATATCACAGATAGCATGGAGACCTACCAGCAGCCCCCTTCCGCAGATGCTTTTGATGCTGGGACACAGGGGTATCAAACGCAAGACTACTAAAAGCTGTTGGAGACCTATTTCCCCTTCCCCCTGCCCACTCTCTTCTGCCACTGAGAAGTCAGCGTGCAAAACAGATCAGAGCAAAACAGGTGACTCTTGGCCAGTTTTGGCCTTCTAGGTTCTCTCTCTCTCTTTTTTATTTCTTCTTTACAGAAAATGCCTCCTCCTCCAGAATTCTCCATCATAACTAGATTGCTCATTGCAAAACATTTTATTGTTTGTGTTGCAGTGATAGATTCTTTGTATGGGAAGCTCAAGCTGTCTTTCAGAGGGAAAGGATGCCTTTGGTGGAAAGCATAAGTCCTGGGATACAGATGAATACTAGTTAAGATGCCAGCGCATAAATATAAGTGCTGAGAAACTAGAATAAGAACTGGACAAATGAGTCGAGCATCCTATAAATGAGTAGTGAAAGTGGGCAAGCAAAGGTGAACGCTGTATATAGCAACAAGGAAATATATGGAGGTGGCAAGCAGAAAAGGATCTCAGGTAGAGAATGGAATCATAAGAGTGTTGGATGTGGAATCTACAATAAGCCAGGTTGGATTTGATAATAGGAAGCTTTAAAAATATCCTGGATTTTCATGAAATACTAAAATGTTTTGTTTTGTGCACTCTTTTTTTAAATTTTCATTTTATCTGCTTCAGGTTGATAATATGTGGTTTCCTTCACAAACTGTTCCAATGTTTGATCACTTGTGATTGGCTTTTTGGAGAGTTGAGAAGTATTAATGTGATTCTCTGTCAAGTTCAAAATGCAAAATGTTAAATACAGGCTGAAAAATGAGACACAGAGTGGTTACATTTGTTGCTGAATACGAGACAGCTCTTCACAACAGACTCACATCAGTTCATTCTACTATAGGCTAAATCAAATCAGATGAACTGACTTTGTTTAGTTGACAAAACAGCATATGAGAAGAGGCCCAGTCACAATCCACAAAATTTAAAGTAATTAAATGACTGATAATTTCATTCAATTATTTTTTCTCCAAAAATGGAGAAAGTGTGCAAATTGTGAGTTGTCAAGGAATGATATAGCATTCTAAATCCAGGATAATGGCCATGAAATCTCCTTCAAATTCAGACTCATAGTTAACAGATTGTCATCAGGATTATATTGTGCAAATCACCATTCAGTTGGAAAAACAATGAGTGCTAATAACAGTCTGGAAAATCCTATGACAACACAACCATATTGAGATGTAATTGAAGTACCACTGAACAAAATTATCTGTATTAGTGGAAATCCTCTTTTCCATTTTTTTAAAAAAACAAAGCTGATTTGCAGTTGAGAAGTGCCAATGTTGATAAAATTATAGTGAGTGATGAACTCTAATGAGGAATGGACATAAATATAAGCAAAAATAGCTCTGAATAAGACAGTACTTCTGCCCAGAATGTTATATGGAACACAGTGTTGGGGATGTCAGGAGAAACATAAAAGTAATTTCAATGCAATGGAAATGAATTACTTAAGAAGTGTATGAGATAAAGCATGGTCAAGAATGAATAGGTAGAAAATGAATATAGACTGAATATAAAAATGAGCCACCAGTATTGTACAAAAAAAGTATATTGAAATGGTTTGGTCCTATAAAAAAATGAATGAAGATTGATTTGCAGACTAAGTACATGAAGAAAGAGTGTGTTGACAGGAAGGAGAAGACCAAGAAAGTCATGTGGAATGAAACTCAAATTCTCCTAAGGAGAGAAGTTTCTTTTTCTTATCTCATGCCTTAACTTTCTTCAGTATACTATTTCTTGCTTTTTTACTGCACTGTTCATTATGTTGATTAACCCAAAAGGGAATAGTGTGATGGATACATAATATATGTATACTATTCATATATTCATGATTCAAGCAATTAATAGGCTAAATAAGAAACAAATGATACAAGTCTAATCAGACAAAGGATTATTCAGAAGTAAACTCCATCTCGTTCAATTGGACTTGCTCTGGAGAATTGTGTCTAGAAGTTTAAAAATATTTATTCATTAATTTCTAAAGAAAAGTGCTCGGACCAAATGTTGTCTGGAAACCATATTCATTGTATCAAATGATAATGTCTTACAAGAAAATATTAACATTTTGTATAGAGTGTAACAAAACAGAAGTCTTCTATCTTTTAAGCTCGTCTACAGTGGTCAGAGCGAAGGAAATACCATTAAGTTGTATACCAAGAACATTTGTAAAAAGGCTCATCTACTCTTAATGGTATGTTACCCAAAGTAACTCCAAAAGTTATTGATTTGCAAGTCACTAGTACAATATCTTCCTGTCTCTCCTTAACCAGCTCTTCATTCAGCAAGCTTTTACTGGCCTTTTCTCCTCTAAAGGAAACCATAGAGTTATTTTCATTTAGGAGATTTGCTTTAAGAGTACAAATTTCACAACATTTAATGGAATAAGCCTGTTGCTAAGCAATACAAAACACTAAGTCAAAAGTGAAAATGCAGTATTCAGACTCAATACTTAGCTAATTTCCAAAATCATATTTTCTTAATTGTATGTCAGGGAGCCAAAGATGGATCTCTTTGTCATGATGGCTGTGAACGATAGAAACTGTAGTTCAGATTATGCTCCCACATTGCCCTTATTCTGATATACCTACAGATAACCTTCCCAATATCACAGCAGTACATCATCAGGGCCACTCTATAAAATAAGGCAATGCAGCATTTGAAATATCATTTGATTATGGGCATCCACAAGGGGTTGTATTGAAGTCTACAAGATAGCAGACACATATTGCAATTTTTTTATCTGGAAAGTCAGTGGGCATACAAAAGTGTAGGATCTGGATCCCAACATTACACCTGCCTTCCTGCAGACATTGACCTCTTTCCCCAGTGGATATTGCAGCTTTTGACCTCTGCTTTTATTAAACCAAGCTAGTATAAATAGACAGTTCTTGCACAAAGAAGAATAAATCTCCATATAATTAGTTCAGGCTTTGAAAGCAGAGAGCAATGAAATGAAAAGAAACACACACTGTGGTTTTTGGTCTTCCCCTTGTGTGTGGCTTGTACAATGTTTTTTGTATTAGAGTGACTTCAATATGTTTTCTATTGTCTATTTTTCTCTGGAAATACCCTGTGAAGTGGGTGTGGCTACTAGGCAGCATTAAGAGGATGTGATCATCTGTAGCAGGGGTCTCTAATCTTGGGAACTTTAAGTATCTCTGGGAGTTGAAGTCCACAAGTCTTAAAGTTGTCAAGGTTGGAGACCCCTGATCGGTAGCACTGAAGCACAAAGAACTTGGTCCTCTTATGGTTCCAGGTGAAAGCAATATTGTATAGACTTGAGAGGGGGGATTCTCTTTCAAAGCCTCCGTTATTGGAGTAGCCTTATATTTAGGCATATGGGAAAGGGGAGGATGGTAGGGTTCTTAATAAATCAGGCTAGGGATGCTTGATTATAGAATTGGGTGGGAGACTAGAAAATCTAGTGGTATAGTTTTGTGAATGTCACTGCATTCATGTCAAGTTACTTAGCAAAAATGACAACTGGGGTTTGGCTTGTTGGATAGGCCAAGCTACATTAAACTCTTTATTTACAAATTGAACTCTAAATTCTTGTAGTAATGGACATTACTTCATGCCCCTTTTCTTTTCTCATATGGATATAATTTTCAATCCAAATAGGAGCTTACCTCAGTCATTCAGTATCTATTGCAAAGGCTAGCAAACATTTTCACCTGACTATGGTGAAAATGTTAACTCATTTATGTCATCCTGCAAACCAGGATTGCAAGTAAGGGTATTGAATCTTTCACTTTAAAATAAACATTATACTCTTAGATCTGGGCGTGGCCAATGTCTGTCTTAAATCTTCTTCCTTACAAAAAGTTCAGTAATGATTCTCTTTGTGTTCTTTTCTGAAACATTTTCTGTTTCATTCAGAGAGCACTAGATATCAGTCTGGCTTACTTCCATTAATTCCATTTAATTGAACATACCCAAACGGTAACACTGGCTACTACATAATACAAACATTTTATTTGAACAATAAAAGGTCTTTCTGTAGAAAAAGTCCACCATCATGCAAGATGTTTTGGCTACTCAGAACTATATTATTTATTTAATTGTTTATTTAAATATTTATATGATGGTCCAATTTGCAAAAATGCAACTCTGGGGAATCAATAACCATAAAATAAATAGTAATCCTCCTTGACAAAGGCCCGGTAACAAGAACAATTCACACAATTGGGACATAACAACATATGCTTCCTCCCCCCAGGAAGAGTTCACTGTTAGCATTGTGATGATTGCTCTTTGATACACTACTGGAATCTTTGCATTAATTTCTGACACAAGATTGCTGCTGTTTCATACTGAATTATAAAGCAACTGAATTACCTCAGTGTTTCGTTCAGTTTCCACATAAAGTGTGAGGAATTGATAAATTACACTTATGCACAGAGGTCATGCTCAATGAGTTGTCACTTAACTTAGCTTCCTGGAAGATGGCTATGCCTCTTTAGAACCATACATATGCCCTTTACACTAACGTATTCCTTGTGGGGCAATTCTAGTATAATTTGGCTGCTTGACCTAATGTGGTAAAACAGCTTGGAAATATAATATTGGCCTGAAACATTGCATTAAATTTCTCAAGTATCTGTTGTTATCTTCCTCAGATTTTGATTGTTCAGAGGGACTATAAACCACATAAATGTTGACAATTAAATTGATCAGCATATAGGGATCTCCTTGTTTAATGATATCTTTGTTTATATCTGCACAACTTATGAGCCACTACAAAGCGAAAGAAAGATGACCTTGACAGAGATGTGCAAGCTCCATTACCAAAGCAATGACGGGTGAAATGTATCTTAAATGTACAGTAAATAGTATTTGGCTCAGGAGTGTAAGAAGGAAGAGGTGCAGTACAATCAGAATAGCAAGATTCTGTTATTATAGACAACCACAATAAAAATAATTTTAGCCTTCCTCTGGAATTGATTTCCTAATCTAGTCTACCTGGTGAGGTTGAAAGCCCCCAAAGTAAATATCCATCATCCAGATGAAGATGATCACTAGCCAACAGTGTAGGTTGTTTACTGAGGGTTTGGTGTTTGCCTTATATTGCTATAGAGCTGTATGAAGGCTAATGGTTCATAAAAGTTGGCTTTAATTTCTTTTGTGCCCAGCAAATAGGGAAATACTTGCATATATCTCACCTGAAGACCATTATCATTTCGATGTATAATTAAGGAAGAATGGATATCCAGTCCAATTATTTATTATTGAATATTGAAATCAAACTAATGCTTCTCTAATCTTTGTATTTTTCCCTAGTTTTTTTTTCCAATAGTGGACAGTGGTTCTTGGTATTTGATGCTGATAGATCTTTGCATGATTTCAAATGCAAAGAGAGATCTTATGATATTAATCTGGAAGAGAGTAAGAAATCATAGGCCAGTTCATTTTACATCATGCAATACATACATACATACATACATACATACATACATACATACATACACACACACACACACACACACACACACACACACACATACATGTATGGTATTCAGCTTTGTTCGGGTATTTTCCCACGTCATTATAGTTGTGCTTTTAAAGTTGTAGCAACGTTTCAGCAGAATCTCATCTGCCATCATCAGGCTTCTGTATTGTGTTCATCTGTGAGTCAGACTTTTACAGTTTGGGGCTAGCCTACTGCTGTGCCAGAATGGTTTTTTTCTTCATCCTGATTGGTTGGGAGTCTTGGTCTGTATTTATTGGTCTTGGAGTTTGCTGTGTTCTGCTTGACTGGTGTTTCTAATATCTTCTGTCTGTTTTGTGGCTTTTTTGTCTTGATTGGCTGGCAACATTGTGTTCCTGTATTGGAGGCTTTTAGTGTAGCTTGGCTCCGAGTAAATGGACGGCTATCATTTATTAGGAAGCTAGGTTTCATATGGGTGCCTGGTTGGGGTGTGTTTGAGCTGGAGGTATCAGGGGGGATCTGTTTGTGCCCAGGTGTTTGCCTGGCTTGTGGTGTGGAGATTTTTTTGTTTGTGAGTGCAGGCTTCCAAATAATTGACAGTCTGGTGGAATCATCTCTTCTATTCATGCTTTCTGGTCTTACCTGACTCCCAACCAATCAGGATGAAGAAAAAAACCATTCTGGCACAGCAGTAGGCTAGCCCCAAATTTAAAACTGAAACAACTGTAAAAGTCTGACTCACAGACGAACACAATACAGAAGCCTGATTATGGCAGATGAGATTCTGCCAAAATGTTGCTACAACTTTAAAAGCACAACTATAATGACATGGGAAAATACACGAACAAAGCTGAATACCATATATATATATATATATATATATATATATATATATATATATATAT